GTCCCAGTGCATGCTGCAGGTCCTGGTTCGTTGGAGCCAACAGGACAACATCATCCGCAAACAGCAGAGATGAAATCCTGTGGTCCCCGAACCGGACCCCCTCCAACCCCTGGCTGCGCCTAGAAATTCTGTCCATGAAGACAGTGAACAGAACCGGTGACAAAGGGCAGCCTTGTCGGAGGCCAACATGCACCGGGAACAGGTCTGACTTACTGCCGGCAATGCGAACACAGCTCTGGCTCCGGTCATACAGGGACCGGACGGCCCTCAGCAGAGGACCCCGGACCCCGTACTCCCGGAGAACCCCCCAAAGGACACCCCGGTGAACACAGTCGAACGCCTTCTCCAAATCCACAAAGCACATGTGGACAAGTTGGGCGAACTCCCATGAACCCTCGAGTATCCGATGGAGAGTATAGAGCTGGTCCAGTGTTCCGCGACCGGGACGAAAACCACACTGCTCCTCCTGGATCCGAGATTCAACCATCGGGCGTAGCCTCCTCTCCAGTACCTTGGAGTAGACCTTACCAGGAAGGCTGAGGAGTGTGATCCCACGGTAATTGGAACACACCCTCCGGTCCCCCTTCTTGTAGAGAGGGATCACCACCCCGGTCTGCCACTCCATTGGCACTGCCCCCGATCGCCACGCGATGTTGCAGAGACGTGTCAGCCGAGACAGTCCTACAACATCCAGAGACTTTAGATAATCAGGGCGGATCTCATCCACACCCGGAGCCTTGCCACCATGGAGGCTACCAACCACCTTGGTGACCTCTGCCAGGGAGATGGCAGTATCCGCCCCAACATCCTCAGCCTCTGCCTCCAATGCGGAGGACGTGACGGGGGGATTGAGGAGAGCCTCGAAGTATTCCTTCCACCGCCCGACAATATCCCCAGTTGAGGTCAGCAGCCCTCCACCCGCACCGTACACAGTGTTGGCAAAGAACTGCTCTCTGAACTCCTCCCAGTCCTCCCAGAACAGCCCGGGCCGCGGCGCGCTTGGCCTGCCGGTACTGGACAGCTGCCTCAGGAGTCCCATGAACCATCATGGCTCGATAGGACTCCTTCTTCAGCCTGACGGCATCCCTCACTGCCGGTGTCCACCACCGGGTTCGGGGATTGCCGCCGGGACCAGCACCAGAGACCTTGCGACCACAGCTACGAGCCGCCGCATTGGCGATAGAGGAAGAGAACATGGTCCACTCGGACTCAATGTCCCCCTCCTCCGCCGGGACCTGGGAGAAGCTCTCCCGGAGGTGTGAGTTGAAAGACCGTCTGACAGGGGGCTCAGCGAGACGTTCCCAGCAAACCCTCACTACACGCTTGGGCCTGCCAGGTCTGACCGGCTTCTTCCCCTGTCAGCGGATCCAACTCACGACCAGGTGGTGATCGGTTGACAGCTCCGCCCCTCTCTTCACCCGAGTGTCCGAGACACGCGGTCGAAGGTCAGATGATACAACAACAAAGTCAATCATCGACCTCCGGCCTAGGGTGTCCTGGTGCCACGTGCACTGGTGGACACCCTTGTGCTCGAACATGGTGTTTGTGATGGACAAACTGTGACTGGCACAGAAGTCCAACAACTGAACACCACTCGGGTTCAGATCAGGGGGGCCGTTCTTCCCAATCACCCCTCTCCAAGTGTCACTGGCATTTCCCACATGGGCGTTGAAGTCCCCCAGGAGAATAACGGAGTCCCCAGTTGGTGCACCGTCCAGTACCCCTCCCAAGGACTCCAAGAAGGCCGGGTACTCTACACTGCTGTTAGGCCCGTAGGCCGTCACAACTGTGAGAGACTTGACCCCACCCGAAGGCGGAGGGACGCGACCCTCTCATTCACCGTCCAACCCCTCTCAAGGAGTTGGGTTCCAGAGCCCAAGCTGTGTGTGGAGGTGAGGCCGACTATTTCTAGTCAGTATCGCTCGACCTCCCCCACGAGCTCGGGCTCCTTTCCCCCCAGTGAGGTGACGTTCCACGTCCGAAGAGCCAGATGTTGTGTGTGCGGACTGGGTCGCCGAGGTCTCCGCCTTCGACTGCTACCCAGTCTTCTCTGCACAGCGCCACCACGGACCCCTCTGCAGGTGGTGGGCCCACAGGAGGGACTGCACACGTCGCCCCTTTGGGCTGAGCCCGGCCGGGCCCGTGGGCTAAGGCCCGGCCACCAGGCGCTCGCATTCGAGCCCCGACCCCAGGCCTGGCTCCAGGGTGGGGCCCCGGCTGCGCCATGCCGGGCGACGTCACGGTTCTTCTCTTTGTGCTGCCCATATTGGCTTCGCAAACAAAACAAACGTGCAAATTCTCGAGGTCATGTTTAAGTGCAGACAGAAAATACAGTTTGTTCTTGCTGATCATCCGTGAAAGAGGAAAGACTGAACCAGGACTAAACCTTCTGTGCTGCGAGGACAAAGACTGTTCCATAATGGCTCGGCTCAGGCTGAAGTGGGTCAACAAAAGCTCGGCTCAGGCTGAAGTGGGCTAACAATGGCTCTGAAACATCCATTAGAACTCCACAAACCCACAAGGATCAGAGTGACGTAGATTTGCGAGTTATGAAGGTGGTGCTCGGCGAGTGCGGAGCGAGGACAACCACTCTGACCCTGAGATCATCCACTTCAGTCTGACGCAGAGAAACACAGCAGCAGAGGAACTGCAGCAGCAGAGGAACTGCAGCAGCAGAGGAACCACAGCAGCAGAGGAACCACAGCAGCAGAGGAACCACAGCAGCAGAGGAACCACAGCAGCAGAGAAACCTTGCAGCTTATTTAGCGATGCGGCTCATATGTGTATTTTTACTGTGGCAGAGCTGGTGTCAGAGAAGGTGAATGAGCCTGACCCTGGACCATAGACTGTAAATACTAAAGATTAAATTACTTCTATCTCCGCAGTTCAAATTAATGTGACATCACATCAAAATGGCCGCAGGAAAGTGTGAAAAAACACATTTGTGAATAAGTTAGCTGCATCTGCCCCATTAAGTTAACGAGTGCATTCAAATGTCCACAGCGACTAAACTAGACTGGTCAGAAAAACATATACTCCCCTCAGACAGCATCTGGAACCAAGAGGACCAAGAACTACTTTTGGACCAAGAACCACTTTTGGACCAAGAACCACTTTTGGACCAAGAGCCACTTTTGGACCAAGAACCACTTTTGGACCAAGAACCACTTTTGGACCAAGAACCACTTTTGGACCAAGAACCACTTTTGGACCATCCTGTAAAGCTGTTCTCGAACGGTAAAGAGATGCTCTACAAAAGCATTGGGTAATTCTTATTCCGTGTCCACCCCCACAGGCCAGGGGTGGTATTGCAGCACAGTCAGCGAACTTCATTCGGGACATTTTCGAGCCGAGACCCGCCCAGAACTGGTCTAGACAGATCCTCGTAGTTCCCTGAGGTTCACACTAAGGTGGGGCCTTGTATGTCCTTGTATGTGATTGGAAAAACCACGCGTCCGTTATTGTGAATGATCACTTCTGCAGACGGAACACCAGTGGGACATAAAGACACACAAACACAAATACAATAAAAGGGCTGTAGATGAAATCCTGCAGCTGGTGTCCTGAACAAGACCAATATCAGATCAGAGACACATTCACCCTCCCCCGACAGCACGGGTGTCCAAACTTTCAGAAAGAGGCCCCAGACCGGTGCAGGAGCCGACCAATCCTCTCTGCTCTGGTCTGGACCAGTGTAAAACCATGAATCCTCTCTGCTCTGGTCTGGACCAGTGTAAAACCATGAATCCTCTCTGCTCTGGTCTGGACCAGTGTAAAACCACGAATCCTCTCTGCTCTGGTCTGGACCAGTGTAAAACCATGAATCCTCTCTGCTCTGGTCTGGACCAGTGTAAAACCATGAATCCTCTCTGCTCTGGTCTGGACCAGTGTAATACCATGAACACTGTGCTGCAGCAACATCTCAGGACCATAAATGGATTTCTGTGACATGTGTATCTTAAGGACTATGTTAGACTATACTGGTGGAGCTGAAGGTGGCTGGATGACACTGTGAAAGTACTTCAGTAGCTGCTTTAGTGAAGTTTGGACATGCCCTCCAGAGACAGTAAAATTACCTCTAACTTAACACAAATATTTTTAGACTGTTTTATAGAAAAAGGAAAATCAAGAAACACTGCATTAAAGGGACTCCATCGACTCCCACTGTCTGCTGCCGTTGTGTCCTTGGGCAAGACACTTAACCTCTGGGAACAGCAGGTGCCACAGTGGGGTGGCTGTAAAGTGCCAAACTGCCTAGAATGAGTCTGGTGTGTGTGTGAATGGTTGGTGGTGGTGGGAGGGGCCGATGCACAGACTGGTTGCCTCACTTCTGTCAGTGTGCCCCAGGGCAGCTGTGGCTACAGTTGTAGTTAATAATGACATGTGAAGCGTCTTTGAGTGTCCAAGAAAGCGCTGTATAAAACCAATGCATTATTATTATTATTTATGGATATTGTTGTTGCACTGGTCTGATTATGCTGCTTCTGTCCTCTCTAGTAATGAATAAGAAGATATAACGACCTGTTTGTCTTAATGAGCGTTGGAAACATCTCTAAAAGCAACTTTTCAATTAAGGATTCACTCAAATGTCTGCATTAGATACGGACGGACGTGTTCTCACTGCTCTAATCAAGTTATAAAGAAACGTGACTGCTGCTTGTTGTGTCTGTGGAATAAAAATGTTCTGTTCCGACTGTAAACGATCCAAGGATGTGTGTTTTATTTGAGATTGTCCTACGTGGCTGTCCCAGAGCTCTCACAAAAAGCCTTTCTGTATTTGCGCAGATATAAAGGTGCCATCCTCTGTGCATCCAACTATAAAATGTACCACTGAGAGCTTGTAAAAGGCAGTGGATCAAAGTGTCTGACTGCGCCCTGGAGACAGATGCGCAGATGACGTGCGCAGAGGAGAGAGCGAGTCTCCAGCCACAGTCTCCATCCACAGTCTCGGACCAACAGTCTCGGACCCAGATTCTCTCTGTCCAACATGTGACTGAATCATGGACAACCAGAGCGACGCCGCAGCGCTCCTCGGGGTGGGTTTGGATAACTTTATTTCTCTGCTGATCTTCGCGCTCATCTTCACCCTGGGGGTCCTCGGGAACACGTTGGTGATCACGGTCCTGGCGCGCACTAAGCCCGGGCAGCCCCGCAGCACCACCAACATCTTCATCCTGAACCTGAGCGTGGCGGACCTGTCCTACCTGCTCTTCTGCGTGCCGTTCCAGTCCACCATCTACGTGCTGCCCACGTGGGTGCTGGGCGCCTTCATCTGTAAGTTCATACACTACTTTTTCACAGTGTCCATGTTGGTCAGCATCTTCACGCTGTCCGCCATGTCCGTGGACCGCTACGTGGCCATCGTGCACGCGCGCAAATCCTCGTCCATCCGCGTGGCGAGGCACGCGGCTCTGGGGGTGCTGCTGATCTGGACCCTGTCTTTGGCCATGGCGTCCCCCGTGGCGCACTTCCAGAGCATCGTGGAACGTGAGGACAATAACACGTACTGCTGGGAGGTGTGGCCGGACCAGCACCGGAAAGTCTACGTCCTGTGCACGTTTGTGTTCGGATACCTGCTGCCGCTCCTTCTCATCTCCGTCTGCTATGCCAAGGTGAGCGCGCGCCAGGACGCACGGCTTTTACGCACGTTGGCACAGCTCTCTGCCTTTGATGTCTGGATAAAGAATACTGTCTTTGACTCATGTTTGTTGTTTCAGGTTTTAAACCATCTTCACAAAAAGCTGAAAAACGGCTCCAAAAAGTCTGAGCTCTCCAAAAGAAAGGTCAGTGACGTCATTAACGTCCATATAACCCACTCAGAGGAGCTGTAAAGGCTCATGATGTGGACCCAACCAAACACTAAAATACAGCACGAGATAAAGATGTCCCCATCCACCTTTGATGATGGCTCAAACCACAAAAGCAAAGTGGAAACATTAGATAAAAGTCCTTGATCCAGATTTAGTGTTTGTTTGTCCGGATGTGTTCAGGGACCAGCCTCAGTCTGATCAGAATCAATGATGAACAGGGCCTGGCCACAGTGGGGCGGCTGCGGCTGTAAAGTGGCTGCCTTTGTGTTCTTAGGCAAGATACTTCATCCACATTAGAATGAGTGTGTGCGTGTGAATGTTTTGGTGGGGGTCGGAAGGGCCAATGGCACACATTACTGGCCTCATTTTTGTCAGTCTGCCCCAGGGCAGAAGTCACACGGCTGGACAGCATCACCAGCAAATCAAGGACCAGAAACACATTTGAAGACCTGACCATCAACACCTCCTTCGTCACGATGGTGGGAACTGTACAGCTCAGAGCACCATCCAGGAGCAGGGCCAGGACCAGGACCAGGACCAGAGCCAGGACCAGGACCAGAGCCAGGACTGGGACCAGGGCAGGACCAGAGCCAGAGCCAGGGTCAGGACTGGGACCAGGGCAGGACCAGAGCCAGGACCAGAGCCAGGGTCAGGGCCAGGACTGGGACCAGGGCAGGACCAGAGCCAGGGTCAGGGCCAGGACTGGGACCAGGGCAGGACCAGGGCAGGACCAGAGCCAGGGCCTGGGCCAGGACTGGGACCAGGGCAGGACCAGAGCCAGGGCCAGGACTGGGACCAGGGCAGGACCAGAGCCCGGGCCAGGACTGGGACCAGGGCTAATCTTTACCTGAGCATTAGATTTAGATTTTATATTCCTATTCATTTAATTAGGCCTGAGCCCCGACTGGGGTAAGGGCCTATTACTTTCACAATGGTGAATGCAAATGGTGGCGGTGCGTGACGGATGCGTTAGCGCCCGTCACTCACCAAAACGTGACGGTTGCGTGCGTAAACTCAAACGCTTTAAAATGATGTATCAGGTGCCATTGAAACCTATATTGTTTAGTCCTACAGACTATGTCAAAGTTTTACATAATTCTGTTTTGCCGTCTTCATTCAATAAGTCAGTGACAGCCAAGACACAACAAACATCAAACCAGCCGCGGCCGTTTCACCGATTTGGCTGAAAATTGCTCTACATCATCTAAACACATGTACCATCAATAATTGTCCATGGTATTTCATTAGTCACATGGTCTTCCTAATGAGACTGTATATGGACACATGCACAGATTATACATGTGCTCCTGTTTACACAAACAAAGTCTGATTCGTGCTAAACATGACTCGGTCGTTCTACTCCTGGGCCTGGGTCACCTGAAGGTGTGAAATATTAGATTGGCTCTTTAGCGCCCCCTACAGACTAAGCCAAAGTCTTACATGAGGAGCCAAACCAACTGGTCATATTCATCACAATTTCACAAACATTGTTCAAAAGCTACTGGAGGGAATCATGGCGCGGCGGCGTCCCCTCTTTGCACGGTGCGGCGAGGGCTGGTCAACGCCGCTCGCGGCCTTAATCTTATTTATTATTCATATTTTCTTCCTCTATAATTTAGATGATTGATTGATTGATTAGAGGTCTCCCATCACAGGACTAACCAGGCCCTGGCTTTCTCGTCCCAGTGACACCAGACATAATAACAGTGTCCTTCTATTATACTTTTTATTCTGTGGATTTATTATGTGTGTGTGTGTGTATGGTGTGTGTCTCTGTGTGTGTGTGTGTGTGTGTGTGTGTGTATGGTGTGTGTCTCTGTGTGTGTGTATGGTGTGTGTCTCTGTGTGTGTGGTGTGTGTCGTGGTGTGTGTGTGTGTGTGTGTGTGTGTCTGGGTGTGGTGTGTATATGATGAAGTGTCCTGATGTTTATCGATTACGCTGCAGCAGGATGTGTGTGTGTATGTGTGTGTGTGTCTCGGTGTGTGTGTTGTGTGTGTGTTGTGTGTAGCAGGATGTGGAGCACTTTGGGAGGAGGCCTCTTGAATATGTCCATCTTCATGCAGCTCATAATGTGATCAGGGCTGCAGTGGAAACAGCAGACCTCGTTTACCCTGAATCTCTCTAATTATATCCTGCTCTGTTCAAATCCATTTTCACTGCACTTTTGTGGAACAACAACACTTTATTCATAATAATAATGGTAATAATAATAATAATAATGGATCAGTTTTATACAGCTTTTCAGGACACTCAAAGTCTCTTCTCATCATTATATAAACTCCTACTGTAGCCGCAGCTGCCCTGGGGCACACTGACAGAAGCGAGGCAACCAGTCTGTGCCATCGGCCCCTCCCACCACCACCAACCACTCACACACACACCAGACTCATTCTAATGTGGGGGAAGTGTCTTGCCTAAGGACACAACCACAGCAGATGGAGTCGGTGGGCTCGAACACAGAACCCTCAGACTTAAAGGCCAATGCTTTACCACCTAAGCCACTGCCAGACTGAGCTGGACCAGACTGAGCTGGACCAGTTTGAGCTGGACCAGTCTGAGCTGGACCAGTCTGAGCTGGACCAGACTGAGCTGGACCAGTCTGAGCTGGACCAGACTGAGCTGGACCAGTCTGAGCTGGACCAGACTGAGGCGGGACGTCCTCTCTCTTAACAGGCTCCTAAAATAAAAATATCACCAAACTTCATTCATTCTCACTTCCGCCTCCGTCGAGCACAGACGTGTCTCAGACGCTCCTGCTTCTGACTGCTTGCTATCTCCTGTTTTTGTCTTTTTCCTGGAGTTTTGCCACAGACAACTTTAACAAGAATGGAAATGATTAACTGGTCCCTCAACGCAATTGATTCTATCTTTTCAACACGTAAGCGTGGGTCTGGAGAGCCCGAGTGCCCGGACGGGACTTCACCAGCGGGGTATACGCTTGACAGCTGGAACAAGTTTCAGCCCCTCTGTCTGTCGACCCTGTCCATTGAAGATTCGGAAGACGTATATATCTTTGGCATTTTGGTGGTGGGGATCCTCCTGTTTGGGTTTGGAGCGATCCTCTTCTACCACAAATTCGGAGGCATGGCAGTTCGCAAGATTCACGACCTGCTGGCCAACAAAATTGATGGGATGTACAAGGAGCTTAACCGAGTCGTGGTTGAGAGTGCCGTGTCTGGACAAAGAAGAGTGGTTTTGGTGGAACAGTTGATAAAAGATCTCGCAGCTCGTTCACTCGAAGGGAATAAAACTCTGGAGTTGAGATTGAATGACATCGTTTGTCAGCTTGAACTCTCTGACCCGGCTTGGATTTGCCCTTGTGTACGGGGTCTGAGGGCGCCGCAATTCGGTTTAATTGGATTTAATAGAATATCTGCCTGCTTTTGACTGCTACATTGCATTTAATATTGTCCCCCTGAGGCGATGTGTTTTTCTCCTGCTGTGTCTTCTCTCCACTCTTATCTCACATTCCTTGGCCAAGGCCATAATAACAAGGTCCAGCAAGGATCCCGTTCCCCCGCCTCCCTCTACCTATCCATCTTGCTCCCTCCCTCCCTCCCCTCCACTCCTCACTGCTTGGATGGAGCTTCTGCGAGATATGAAGCTGATGCGGGCAGTGCCTGATGCTGCCAGGAGAGGGCAGTGTGGCTCTGCAGTGTGAGTGTGATTGACAGGTGCTGTTGCTATGGGCGAAGTGAGCAGGGTTCTCCAGTTTTCCAGTCTGAATTTGCGCTTAAACTACATTTAACTGCAGAGCTGTTTAGCCTCTGCCTTCACATACTGTAGTCCAGATGTCTTTTATGCAAGATAGTTCTGTCTCTAACTCCTAACCCTGAGAGAGCTCCCCTCTTCTCCGCAGACGGCGCTGACGGTGCTGGTGGTGGTGGTGGTCTTCTGTCTCTCCTGGCTGCCCCATCACGTGGTGCATCTCTGGGTGGAGTTTGGCTCGTTCCCGCTGAACCAGGCCTCCTTCGTCTTCAGGATGGTGGCTCACAGTCTGGCCTATAGCAACTCCTCGGTGAACCCCGTCATCTACGCTTTTCTGTCCGAGAACTTCAGGAACTCCTACAAGCAGGTGTTCTGGTGCCGCACGCCCAACGACTGCCCCCTCCACGACGCCCACCACCGCAGCAGGATGGACACCGCTCCATCCACCAACATCAGCGCTGCTTTCAAGAACACAGACTCACTGTTCACCAAGGTCACCTGAGCGGACCGTGCTAACCTGGCTAAGCTATGAACTCACGGTCATTTGAAAGAAGTCTGTGGTTGACCAATCAGTTGCCTTCATACGTGTGAAACTCCAGCTCGCCGTAGCAATCGTGTTAGCTACACTGCCCCTGTTACGACGCAAAGGTAATGTCGTCAGAAGAAATGCCCATACAAGGAAACTTGCTACAGCTAGCTTATACCTACAGCTTGCTAGCTACAGCTAGCTTATACCTTAAAATCAGCTACCACTCCTGATATAATACAGTCTTTGTTGTGGACAAACCAGGAGAAAACCACAAAGAGACGTTCTCGATCTATAAACTGTAAATAATAACATCAGAACGAAGGGAGTTCTAATGTGTGTGAACAGGACCCGGGACAGTCCTGTGGAGAACCATCATTCACATGTTGCAAGTCTCTCATCTGGTCCCAGTGTCTTTTTCTTCAAGAAAATGTACAATGTTAAATAGTCTCATGCTTATATAGCACACATTCACTGAACATGGGTTTTACAAACCCTGCTGTGGCCCCACAGAGAAAAAGACACGTTTAGGGGTGAATGTAAATGTAGTCAACAGATAATGTGTGTACTGTAAACAATAATAATAATAACTATGATAATGAGACATTGGTTGTATATACCCTCAAAGACACTTCACATCATCGTTCATTTCCCCCACATGCTGGTGATGAACTCCTGTAGCCACAGCTGCCCTGGGGCACACTGACAGAAGCGAGGCAACCAGTCTGTGCCATCAGCCCCTCCCACTGATTCAGATTCAGTTTATTTGCCATTTGCAGTAAAACCACATTGGAATACATTAGCAAAAGTCTCCAGTGTGCACAGACAAATACCGACATAAAACAACATTAAAAGACAGAAATAAAACAAATAAAACAGTAAACAAAAGTCACTGTGAAATGGATCGACTAAAACAGTTTCAAAACAAGTGCAAATCATTAAAGTGCTCTGTTCACACTGATAACAGCCTGTGGATAAAAACTGTTAGCGTAACGAGATGTCCTGCATCTCAGAGCGATATCTTCTGCCAGAGGGAAGAAGCTGGAACATGGCTTTCCCAGGGTGGCCAGAAGAGTCATTAACAATCCTAAGAGCTTTGTTTAAAAGTGTGGATTTATAAAGAACCTCCAGAACAGGAAGCTCACAGCCCACGGTCCTCTTTGCAGAGCGGAGCACCTTGTTTAAAGCTCTCTTTTCTTTATCTGTGATGTTTCCAAACCACACAGACACAGAACCAACAAGTAAACTCTCAATGGTGCAGCCATAAAAGTTAAGCACAATCTTAGAGTTAGTGGTAAATTCTCTAAGTTTACGCAGAAAGTAGAGACGCTGACGAGCTTTCTTAACGACTCGGTCAGTGTTTTTAACCCATTTCAGGTTAGACAGAGTTAAACCCAGAAACTTGCTCCTCTACGATCTGCACCTGGGAGTTGTCGATTACGACAGGCAAATGAGAACTATTGTGACTGAAGTCGTGACCAGTTCACATGTTTTGGATGCGTTCAACTGGAGGTTGTTAGTTTGACTCCACTGAACCACATTTTGTATCTCTGCTCTATATGAGGATTCATCAGTGTCACTGATGAGACCACCAACCACTCACACACACACCAGACTCATTCTAATGTGGGGGAAGTGTCTTGCCTAAGGACACAACCACAGTTTGGCACTTTACAGCCGCATTCATTTGACCGTTCCTGGTCCGCGGGGGAGGCGGGTGTTGTAGGTCGGTGTCGGTGACGTCAAGAGTTTGTGCTGAATTTGCTGGTTGTAGTTTGTCGGAGAATGCGATAGTAAAATAATCTGTTCTGGTTCAATCCAAATATCAAGAAACTGAAGCCGGAGCAAGAGGAATGTTTAGTAAATGTCATTGAAGCAAAGATGTTGTGGCTCTACTCCCCACGGGCTCCGTTAGTGACAAAGGAGATGCTAAAGCTAGGCTACATGCTAAAGCTAGGCTAAATGCTAACAACTGCTAACAACTCAATGCAAGCAAATCCAGACCTTAGTATGAAATGAAATGAGTACCATGGTGCGGTAAGACCAGGGTTCATCTCACCATAACCATGAGGAGTATCAGATCGTGATTGTGTCAGTAAAAGAGCTGCTTATCAAACACGTATTCTAACAATTTCTATTCCATGGTCCACATTTCTCTCTTGGTCTGTCTCATGGAATCACAAACGAGGTGGAAATGATAAAACAATATCCATAAAGATGATGCTTTTTGCAGCGAGGCGACGTCATTCTGAGATAAAACCAAATGGAATTGATTGAATGACAAACAAAGAATTGTGGAAAGACTTTTGTATGATTGTTTTTGTATCTCTGGTCCTCTCCTCTTGAATATGGTTATTATGATTATCAATCAATCAATCAACGTTTATTTGTAGAGCGCCTTTCCTACACAAGGCAACGCAAAGCGCTTCACATCCCCTATCACATCATGCATAAATCAAACACATTAAGAGCACAAGATATATTAAAAACATTAAAAATAAAATCACAAAAATTAAAAACCTTTAAACATTAAAATCACAGATGGGACTAAAATCATAAATAGTCACAGTGCATTAAAAAGATTAAAGATAAAAACAAAGATGAAAAGATAAAATCATTCAGTTGTATATGCGCAGCAAGGCAAGGCAAGGCAAGTTTATTTATATAGCACAATTCATACACAAGGCAATTCAAAGTGCTGAACAAAACAAGAAAGCATTAAAATCATAAATTATCACAGAACATTAAAAAGAAAGATAAAAATATAAAACAGCTAAACAGAATTGTTTTGAGCCTAGATTTAAAAGATGCCAGAGTAGACGCCTGTCTCACATTCTCAGGAAGACGGTTCCAGACTCTAGCCGCATGAATCTGAAATGCAGTTTGCCCATGTCTAGTACCGACTCTGGGCACCAACAGGAGTCCAGTCCCTGTGCTCCTCAGAGTCCGGGTCGGTTCATATGGCACAAACATGTCATGGATGTACCTTGGCGCGAGACCATGGAGAGACTTGTACACAAGTAAAGCTGCTTTGAAGTCTATTTTCTGAGGAACAGGAAGCCAGTGCAGAGACCTGAGAACTGGACTAATGTGGTCGTACTTCCTAGTTCTGGTCAGGACTCGAGCTGCTGCATTTTGAATGTACTGCAGCAGTCTAACCGACTGGAGACAAAAGCGTGTATAAGAGTCTCCAAGTCTGCCTTAGACACTATGTTTTTAATTTTAGCAATGTTTTTTAGGTGGTAATAAGCTGCTGATGTTACAGATTTTATGTGGCTTTTGAAATTTAAGTCTGAGTCCATTATCACTCCTAGATTTCTGACCTAATTTGAGGGTTGTAGAGAGAGAGCCTGGAGGTGACAAATAACGCTCTCTCTTTGTTTCTGGGGTCCGAAAACAATTATTTCAGTTTTGTCGGTGTTTAGTTGGAGAAAGTTATTTTGCATCCAATCACCGATTTGCTGTGTTTATAGTTTTAAACACACACAGACCAGATGTACTTCATTAAACATTATACTATAAACTGTTGGAGCTCCTCGTCCGCCTCAGCACAGACCTCCCAAAGCCATGTGTGTAACCACTGACACAACAAGACTAAATATATGTTATATTTTCACAGGAACATACAACATTGTAATTATCTCAGGAACTGTTTAATTGTGAGTGTATCATGTGTATTTTAATTATTGTAAAAACAAGCTTGTGTTTATCTGTCTGGTCCTCTCTATAAAGCACACATTATATATATACACACACACACACACATGTCTGTAATTGAATTGGTCATTGTTCTACTGTACGTGTCGTCATGGAAACTGAGGTAAAAAACTCTGGTTTCGTGTTTTCGTTGGATTGGACTGACACTGCTGATCCGGACTGTTCCTAATAAATAAAACGGCCTCGTACTTTCCAGACGAGTAAATATGAGGCTCCTGCACCAAAGAACACAGAGACAACAGGCACAGGTCAAAGACACAACTCATTCTCTCTGGTCTCTCTCTCTCTGGTCTCTCTCTCTGGTCTCTCTCTCTCTCTGGTCTCTCTCTGGTCTCTCTCTGGCTCTCTCTCTCTGGTCTCTCTCTGGTCTCTCTCTCTCTGGTCTCTCTCTGGTCTCTCTCTGGTCTCTCTCTGGTCTCTCTCTCTGGTCTCTCTCTCTGGTCTCTCTCTCTGGTCTCTCTCTGGTCTCTCTCTGGTCTCTCTCTGGTCTCTCTCTCTGGTCTCTCTCTCTGGTCTCTCTCTGGTCTCTCTCTCTGGTCTCTCTCTGGTCTCTCTCTTCCTCTCTCTGGTCTCTCTCTCTGGTCTCTCTCTGGTCTCTCTCTCTGGTCTCTCTCTGGTCTCTCTCTCTGGTCTCTCTCTGGTCTCTCTCTCTGGTCTCTCTCTCTGGTCTCTCTCTCTGGTCTCTCTCTCTGGTCTCTCTCTCTGGTCTCTCTCTCTGGTCTCTCTCTCTGGTCTCTCTCTCTGGTCTCTCTCTGGTCTCTCTCTGGTCTCTCTGGTCTCTCTCTGGTCTCTCTCTCTCTGGTCTCTCTCTCTCTGGTCTCTCTCTCTGGTCTCTCTCTGCTCTCTCTCTTTCATACAGGGTAGAGACCTGAACAGTCCACACAGAGAGAGAGCGCTGCAGTCAGAGCAGATTGAAGGAACTCTGTCCCTGTGGTTCAGAGGCTCCAGAGGAACATTCCTCTGGACCTTCCCCTGCTCCCTCAGACGACTTAAAGCACTGTCTGTAATTTTATCATTTATCAAGTTATTTTCCTGTCTCCGGATCTCAGCGATCAGAGTGGGACAAAGACACGCCGCTGGATCGAGTCCATCGTCCTGGAGCGGTCTGAGTGTCCAGAACTTTTGAAGAAGATGACATAGTCTGGGATCGTGTCTTTCATTCAGACAGAAGACATGTTTTATTGTCGATGGTAGAGACAGCACGAACACAGATACAATAGAATGCAAGTGTATTATACAGAGCGTTGGCATGGAGACCTCCAATCAGCAGCTGCCACAGTGCCATGTAGCTTGGCCTTCAGATAGACACAACAAGGGAAAAGTACAGGCTTCTGCACATTGATAGAATGATGAGTTTAACTTTAACAAAAGTTGCTTCAAAGTGTTATGAAATCTCACACTTTTATTGCTTAGAAATGTGTTGTTTTGAATGAAGTCATTATAATCATAAAGATATGTTTATTTACAGCTGATTTCATGGACCAAGGTGTCATAAAGAAATTCATGATTTATTTGCAGTGAAACCTCATTGGAATAACTGACGACTCCAGTGTGAGCCGGTCGGAGCAGGTTCTGGAGAGACTCCAGACCAAGATCGCTTTAGAATATTTATTATCAACATGCAAGATCAGACCACAGCAGACTGAGATCGAGGACTGACACATGTGTCATTAGGATCAGAGGAAAACTGTATGTGTCTGTAGAAGGAGGTCAACAGAAATGATGAGCTCGCGACCCCCAAGGCCGCCTCCATCACAGCGAGGACTGAGACCACAGGGACCAAGACCACAGGGACCAAGACCACAGGGACCAAGACCACAGGGACCAAGACCACAGGGACCAAGACCACAGGGTCCAAGACCACAGGGACCAAGACCACAGGGTCCAAGACCACAGGGACCAAGACCACAGGGACCAAGACCACAGGGTCCAAGACCACAGGGACCAAGACCACAGGGACCAAGACCACAGGGACCAAGACCACAGGGTTCAAGACCACAGGGACCAAGACCACAGGGACCAAGACCACAGGGTCCAAGACCACAGGGACCAAGACCACAGGGACCAAGACCACAGGGTCCAAGACCACAGGGACCAAGACCACAGGGACCAAGACCACAGGGTCCAAGACCACAGGGACCAAGACCACAGGGTCCATGACCACAGGGACCAAGACCACAGGGACCAAGACCACAGGGTCCAAGACCACAGGGACCAAGACCACAGGGACCAAGACCACAGGGTCCAAGACCACAGGGTCCAAGACCACAGGGACCAAGACCACAGGGACCAAGACCACAGGGTCCAAGACCACAGGGTCCAAGACCACAGGGACCAAGACCACAGGGTCCAAGAGTATATCGCATCTGGAACAACATGTGCAAGGACAAGGTGCAATATCCTCCACTAGCACCTGAGCTGTAGCACCTGAGCTCTAGCACCTGAGCTCTAGCACCTGAGCTGTAGCACCTGAGCTCTAGTACCTGAGCTCTGGGCGGCACGGTGGCTGAGTGGATAGCACTCTCGCCTCTCAGCAAGAAGGTCCTGGGTTCGAATCCCGGTCGGACCAGGGCCTTTCTGAGTGGAGTTTGCATGTTCTCCCCGTGTCTGCGTAGGTTTCCTCCGGGTACTCCGGTTTCCCCTACCACTAAAAATATGTCCAATAGTTCTGGCATGCGCTTCCTGTACTGGCGACCCCGCTCCCATCTCTGTGTGGAGTGAGAGACTAATGCCCAAAATTAACAATTGTAAACCGCTTTGAGACTCAGATCTGCAGTGAAAAGGCGGTATATAAATAAAAACTTACTTACTTACTTACTTACTCTAGTACCTGAGCTCTAGCACCTGAGCTCTAGCACCTGAGCTCTAGTAGCTGAGCTCTAGCACCTGAGCTGTAGCACCTGAGCTCTAGTACCTGAGCTCTAGCACCTGAGCTCTAGTAGCTGAGCTCTAGCACCTGAGCTGTAGCACCTGAGCTCTAGTACCTGAGCTCTAGTACCTGAGCTCTAGCACCTGAGCTCTAGTAGCTGAGCTCTAGCACCTGAGCTCTAGCACCTGAGCTCTAGCACCTGAGCTCTAGTACCTGAGCTCTAGCACCTGAGCTGTAGCACCTGAGCTCTAGTACCTGAGCTCTAGTACCTGAGCTCTAGCACCTGAGCTCTAGCACCTGAGCTCGAGCACCTGAGCTCTAGTACCTGAGCTCTAGTACCTGAGCTCTAGCACCTGAGCTCTAGTACCTGAGCTCTAGCACCTGAGCTCTAGTAGCTGAGCTCTAGCACCTGAGCTGTAGCACCTGAGCTCTAGCACCTGAGCTCTAGTACCTGAGCTCTAGCACCTGAGCTGTAGCACCTGAGCTCTAGTACCTGAGCTGTAGCACCTGAGCTGTAGCACCTGAGCTGTAGCACCTGAGCTCGAGCACCTGAGCTCTAGTACCTGAGCTCTAGTACCTGAGCTCTAGCACCTGAGCTCTAGTACCTGAGCTCTAGCACCTGAGCTCTAGTACCTGAGCTCTAGTACCTGAGCTGTAGCACCTGAGCTCTAGCACCTGAGCTCTAGTACCTGAGCTGTAGCACCTGAGCTCTAGTAGCTGAGCTCTAGTACCTGAGCTGTAGCACCTGAGCTCTAGCACCTGAGCTCTAGTACCTGAGCTGTAGCACCTGAGCTCTAGTAGCTGAGCTCTAGTACCTGAGCTGTAGCACCTGAGCTCTAGCACCTGAGCTCTAGTACCTGAGCTGTAGCACCTGAGCTCTAGCACCTGAGCTCTAGTACCTGAGCTCTAGTACCTGAGCTGTAGCACCTGAGCAACACACAAACTGCTCAGGGCCGAGACAGAAGCAGCTGTTTGGACAAAAACAGTGTTTTCTACTGGTATAAAAGAGTGTCCAAGGAGGTCAGGTGGATATGACTGATACAAATGTTTTCCTAAACTGACAAACTGTATGTTTTGCTCATCATAGCTACCTGTGTGTGAAATCTCTGAAGCTAAGCAGGGCAGGGCCTGGTTAGTACTGTGATGGGAGACAGCAGGTGCCACAGTGGGGCGGCTGTGGCTGTAAAGTGCCAAACTATGGTTGTGTCCTTAGGCAAGACACTTCCCCCACATTAGAATGAGTCTGGTGTGTAGGGAGTGATGGTAGTGGTCGATGCCATATCTGTCTGCCCCAGGGCAGCTGTGGCTATAGTACTAGTTTCCTCCCACTGTGTGGACTGAAAGAATAAAGCCTGAAGCGTCTTTGAAAGTCCAGCGTTTAACCGTCGGCAAATCTGGTTTAATAATAGTCCAGATAAACACACTTTGTTCATGTCTGAGTGCTTCACCTCAAGCACAAAAAGAAACTGAAGAGGATTTCACTTCATCGTCTGTGTTTGTGTTTGTGTTGGTGCCCTCGACAAACACAAAAACAAACACAATCATATTTTTATAGTTAGATTTTTGAAGAACTGTTCTATTGAAAAATACCAAATGCAGCTGTTGTGTGAAAGTGCATCTATAACAGCGTCTCCTGAGGTTCAGTGCAGTGTGTCGGTCTAACACCAGAGGGCGCTGTGGGACCACTGCTGCTCATCCACCAGGCCCCGTCTGTGTGTGTGTGTGTGTGTCCCATCTGTGTGTGTGTGTGTGTTACATCTGTGTGTGTGTGTGTGTGTGTTACATCTGTGTGTGTGTGTGTGTGTGTTACATCTGTGTGTGTGTGTGTGTGTGTTACATCTGTGTGTGTGTGTGTGTGTTACATCTGTATGTGTGTGTGTTACATCTGTGTGTGTGTGTCCCATCTGTGTGTGTGTGTTACATCTGTGTGTGTCTCCCATCTGTGTGTGTGTGTGTGTTACATCTGTGTGTGAGGGTGTCCCATCTGTGTGTGTGTGTCCCATCTGTGTGTGTCTCCCATCTGTGTGTGTGTGTTACATCTGTGTGTGTGTGTCCCATCTGTGTGTGTGTGTGTCCCTTCTCTGTGTGTGTGTGTTACATCTGTGTGTGTCTCCCATCTCTGTGTGTGTGTGTGTGTGTGTGTTACATCTGTGTGTGAGGGTGTCCCATCTGTGTGTGTGTGCGTGTCCCATCTGTGTGTGTCTCCCATCTGTGTGTCTCCCATCTGTGTGTGTGTGTGTTACATCTGTGTGTCCCATCTGTGTGTGTGTGTGTGTGTGTGTGTGTCCCTTCTCTGTGTGTGTGTGTTACATCTGTGTGTGTGTGTGTGTTACATCTGTGTCTGTGTGTGTGTGTGTGTGTTTTGTGTGTGTGTGTGTGTGTTACATCTGTGTGTGTTACATCTCTGTGTGTGTATGTTACATCTGTGTGTGTCTATGTGTGTTTTTGTGTGTGTGTGTGTGTGTTGCATCTGTGTGTGTTACATCTGTGTGTGTTACATCTCTGTGTGTGTATGTTACATCTGTGTGTGTGTGTGTGTGTTTTTGTGTGTGTGTGTGTGTGTTACATCTGTGTGTGTTACATCTATGTGTGTTTTGTGTGTGTGTGTGTGTTACATCTATGTGTGTTTTTTGTGTGTGTGCTACATCTGTGTGTGTTCTATCTGTGTGTGTTACATCTGTGTGTGTGTGTGCTACATCTGTGTGTGCTACATCTGTGTGTGTTACATCTGTGTGTGTGTTTCAGAGCGAACATAAAACATGTGTAATTGAATGTGTATTGATTGTGTTGCATTAGGTCCAGTCTCTGAGGAACATTTCACAGTTTATTTGTGTTAACACAAACATGGCCTCATGACCCAGGACTGAGGCTGTAGACCCAGGACTGAGACTGTAGACCCATGGACTGAGGCTGCAGACCCAGGACTGAGGCTGTAGACCCAGGACTGAGGCTGTAGACCCAGGACTGAGGCTGTAGACCCAGGACTGAGGCTGTAGACCCAGGACTGAGGCTGTAGACCCAGGACTGAGGCTGTAGACCAGGACTGAGGCTGTAGATCCAGGACTGAGGCTGTAGACCCAGGACTGAGGCTGTAGACCCAGGACTGAGGCTGTAGACCAGGACTGAGGCTGTAGACCCAGGACTGAGGCTGTAGACCCAGGACTGAGGCTGTAGACCCAGGACTGAGGCTGTAGACCCAGGACTGAGGCTGTAGACCCAGGACTGAGGCTGTAGACCCAGGACTGAGGCTGTAGACCCAGGACTGAGGCTGTAGACCCAGGACTGAGGCTGTAGACCCAGGACTGAGACTGTAGATCCAGGACTGAGACTGTAGATCCAGGACTGAGGCTGTAGATCCAGGACTGAGGCTGTAGATCCAGGACTGAGGCTGTAGACCAGGACTGAGGCTGTAGATCCAGGACTGAGGCTGTAGACCCAGGACTGAGGCTGTAGACCCAGGACTGAGGCTGTAGACCCAGGACTGAGGCTGTAGACCCAGGACTGAGGCTGTAGACCCAGGACTGAGGCTGTAGACCAGGACTGAGGCTGTAGACCCAGGACTGAGGCTGTAGACCCAGGACTGAGGCTGTAGACCCAGGACTGAGGCTGTAGATCCAGGACTGAGGCTGTAGACCCAGGACTGAGGCTGTAGATCCAGGACTGAGGCTGTAGATCCAGGACTGAGGCTGTAGACCCAGGACTGAGCTGTAGACCCAGGACTGAGGCTGTAGATCCAGGACTGAGGCTGTAGATCCAGGACTGAGGCTGTAGACCCAGGACTGAGGCTGTAGACCCAGGACCGAGGCTGTAGACCCAGGACTGAGGCTGTAGACCAGGACTGAGGCTGTAGATCCAGGACTGAGGCTGTAGATCCAGGACTGAGGCTGTAGACCCAGGACTGAGGCTGTAGACCCAGGACTGAGGCTGTAGACCCAGGACTGAGGCTGTAGACCCATGGACTGAGGCTGCTGCTCCTCATGGCTCCTCCTGGCTCCTCCTGGCTCCCTTTGGCTCCTCATGAACACACACAAACCCATCTTTCAGGCTCATATTGGACAGATTTATCTTTGATTCCTGTCTTCTCGCAGATAGATCCGCAGCTTTATATCCTGCTGCCGCTGAGCATTGTGGGAAACGGAGTCCTGGCCATGAAAAGACTCTGTGAACAAGTGCCGGCTGTCAGAGGCCCCTGATTAATGACCCTTTGAGCCGTGTCCAGTCCCACCTCAGGCCCCGGTGTCTGCCTTTGTCCTGCCTGGAAACGCTCTCCCACAAACTGATAAAGATTAACCGTCAGCGGCAGATGAAAGCCGACCACGCCGCCATTGATTCCACAGAAGAAGAGAAAGAGCCACAGAAGAAGAGCACATTTTGGGTCGGAGCTCATTCCCGACGCGGAGGAGATATGATCAGCTTATTTGGGCGCTGCTCCATGTGCCAGAATGAACTTTGAAAGAAATAAATTGTAAATATTGATTTGGGAAATGAAGTGTCAGTCTCAGCAGAAGGAGATTATTCCGATCGGAGCGGGTTGAAAAGGGGAAGGAGGTTGAGGCGAGTGGGAGATGTGACGGTAATGGGGTCACTGCAGAGAGAGATGAGAGGAATCTGATGGAGAGAGAACCTATGATCAGAGGGTCGCACTTTCCCACCAAAGACCCAACACCGCATCAGATTTTAATACATGATTTTAATAAATGATTTTAAACATGATTTTAACACATGATTTTAAACATGATTTAATACATGATTTTAATACATGATTTTAACACATGATTTTAACACATGATTTAATACATGATTTTAATACATGATTTTAACACATGATTTTTAAACATGATTTAATCCATCCATCCATCCATTTTCTACCCTTTAATCCATTTCTGGGTCAGGGGGGTGGCAGTCAGAGATGCCACCCAAGTCTCATAGCACCAGCCCCTCACTGACCCTCTGCAGGTGGTGAGTCCACAGGAGGACGGCTGCTCTCTGAGTGTGAGCATAGCCTTGATCTTTCAGTGGGGGCTTTGGGCAAAGTGGGGTTAAGTGTCTTGCCCAAGGACACAACGACAGCAGTCATCAGTGGGAGTCGGTGGAGAAGGTGCAGAGGTGGGAATTGAACCCACGACCTTCTGGGCTTAAGGCCAATGCTCTACCAACTGAGCTACTGTCGCCCCCACATGATTTAATACAGGATTTTAATACAGGATTTTAAAAACATGATTTTAATACATGATTTTAATACATGATTTTAAACATGATTTTAACACATGATTTAATGCATGATTTTAATACATGATTTTAAACATGATTTTAATGCATGATTTTAATACATGATTTTAATACATAATATTAATGCATGATTTCAAACATGATTTTAAACATGATTTTAACACGTGATTTTAAACATGATTTAATACATGATTTTACACATGATTTTAACACGTGATTTTAACACATGATTTTAATACATGATTTTAACACATGATTTAATACATGATTTTAATACATGATTTTAATACATGATATTAATGAATGATTTTAATACATAATATTAATGCATGATTTAAAACATGATTTTAAACATGATTAACATGATTTTAATACATGATTTAATACATGATTTAATACATGATTTTACACATGATTTTAACACGTGATTTTAAACACGATTTTAACACATGATTTAATACATGAAATGATGATTGAACGGAGTGTACGGATGGATAAGGCCAGGGTAGTGGAAATGGTCCAAAGGTTCTAATCCCTTTGTTTGTGGAACATCAACAGTTTTCAAAAGTGCAGAATAAAAACATATTTATACAAATAAATAAAAACCAAAGACATTAAAAAGATAAACTAACATTTCACAGTATTTCACACATCCACTTCCACAGAGGTGTTTACGACGTGCTCTGTTCCAAATAAATCTTCACTTTGAAGATGATGTGTCTCTGGTTTTTGGTTCATTGTTTTTCTTTGATCTTGTTCCAAAGTTTCACTTCTTTGATTCAAATAAAGAGATTTTGTTTCTGGTGCATTTCATTATTTCTTTCTCTCTCTCTCTCTCTCTCTCTCTCTCTCTCTCTCTCTCTCTCTCTCTCTCTCTCTCTCTCTTTCTCTCTCTCTCTCTCTTTCTATAAATACATATTTCATAAACTGGAATGAACCTGCTGTCTGGTCGTACTCTCGCTAGATGGCAGTGTTCTCCTTTTAATGCAAATCAGCTGCTCCAACAGTCCCTCTGGCCTCTCTCAGGTCTCTCTCTGGTCTCTCTCTGGTCTCTATCTCAGGTCTCTCTCAGGTCTCTCTCAGGTCTCTCTCTGGTCTCTCTCTGGTCTCTCTCAGGTCTCTCTCTGGTCTCTCTCTGGTCTCTCTCTGGTCTCTATCTCAGGTCTCTCTCAGGTCTCTCTCAGGTCTCTCTCAGGTCTCTCTCAGGTCTCTCTCAGGTCTCTCTCTGGTCTCTCTCTGGTCTCTCTGGTCTCTCTGGTCTCTCTCTGGTCTCTCTCTGGTCTATCTGGTCTCTCTCTGGTCTCTCTCTGGTCTCTCTCTGGTCTCTCTCTGGTCTCTCTGGTCTCTCTCTGGTCTCTGATGTGACCTCTCCTTTCCATTAGTGTTGCTTCAAACTAATGTCACTCATTCCCTTTCTCACTCTTACATGTTGTCCTCATTAATCCGTGTTTGACGGGGGTCAAAACAACACGCCTACACTTAGCCCCGATAAACGCAGGCCCTAATTCCCCATTACAGTGGATTGATTGGCGCAGATTGGTTTGGTTTGGTCTGATTTTGACAGATGAAGGCGACTGGACAGCGCCTCCAGCTCCGACTGTCCTTTAATTGCCATTTACATAGTAGGCTAATCATTAAATGCAATCAGTGACGACTTTGAGAGCAGCGTATGGATTTATGAGCCAAAAATGCACAAAACAATTGGAAAAAAGTATGTAACACAAGCGTGAGTCTGGCTGCGGGGGACGGCACGGGACGGCACGGGATGGAACAGATCAAGGGTTAGATTTGTCATGTCACGTGTTCTATGTTCTATGCCAGTCTGTTGAGCGCTATATTCATAGAACTATAGTTACAAAGGTAACTGTAATAGATTTACCATGGCAACCACAAATTAATAAATACAAGATGTACTCATTAAACAACTTAATAATAAATCTACCTGTAACTTCCAGAGCAGTCATTGCAACCTGCTAGTTACCATAGCAACACACGGTTTACCTGCAGAAGCTAGCGTTTGGAAGCCTTTCAAGTTATATTCAGCAGATTTAGCAGATTTAGCAGATTTTAACAAAAGACTTCTTACTTTTAACCTTGAAGAAAGCTATGTCATTTTTTCTTTTTTGTATTTTCTTGTCATGGTGTGGACTTTTTGATTACTTTCACTGGTTTTATTGTGATATTTCTTGGTTCTCGCCCTGATGTGTTTTGGTCCCAGTTTGGTCTTGGTCTTGGTTTGAGTTCAGAGTTCTGTTTTATCCTGGATTTAGTTATTTTCATATTTTGTTTATTAAATCTGTATCTTTTTGTCTGTCTTCCATTTGAAGTCCTTCTGTTTTCACCACGGGACATTTCTAAGATTCAGGACACTAATAACACACATCCTTTTGTTTCTTCTTGGACTTTAGTAAATGGTTAAGGCACAGTTTGATGTAAAAGTGCCTAAAACAAAGTGAGACGCTCAAAGAGAGAGTTCCAAACGTCAGGTGGATTCTATGACTCAAAGGTCGTTTATCGGTTGATGTATACAGGTGGATGTAATTTCCTGCTTAGCATTGCTGCCTGTCGCACCTCCTCCGGTGCCCATGGGTCAGCTGCAGGGTCAGCTGCAGGGTCATCAGCCAGGAACCACCAATCACCAACGTTTCGCCCCTTTAATCCTGGAACGTCTCATGGTGGCGGAGCAGTGACAAGGACGTCTCCTTGTCACTCCCTGCAGCTGGAGAATGTTATCCCCCGCAGCTGTCATTGAGGTTAGCTATACTTTCCCCAACTCCTATCCTTCCTCCTCAACCAGAGCCAGAAGCTGCCCTTTTCCGCCTCCTCCGAAAGCTCTCTTGTGGCCCTGCGCAGCTTTCCCCCGTGACTCCTGCATCCCTCAAGAGCCGTATCATTGACAGCCCCACGAAGCCTCGGCAGCCAACTTCAACAGGGTAGATGGCGGCCTTCCATCCAGCCAAATGTTGATGAAACTATTAAAAGGTTAAAAAAACAATGGAAATCTCACTTTTTTAGAGAATTTAAGGAGGTTTATAGTGTTGAATGTGAGCCGTCAGATGGACTGCTCTCGTTAGCGCCTGCTCTCGTTAGCGCCTGTGGAGTACAGTGGTGTGTGACCTCCTGTCGCTCCTAAACTCTGA